TGTGTCGCTAGAATGGCGATTATCCTCGTCAAGCACGGAATATGTGCTGTAAAATTGAATTAAATTATAGAGAAACTAGTTTTCTTTTTCTTGGAAAATTTTATTATTAGTTTAACTTAATTGATGAAAACTTATTTACAAAACTTAAACATCCATAATTTTCTTGTTAAAACACTCGCCATTCACAGCTAAGAAGTTAATAATAATAGTAATGATGATGTTTATTACTCGGACAAATCTCAATAAGATACAATATATTATAAAATAATAAATAAAGATACGTGAGAAATTCGCTAGGATTGCGAGCAAGTTGCAGCGAACTCGTCTGCGAACAAGGAACACTGTTCACTCTGTAGCCGGTACATCAAATGGCTCGTTCGCAAACTCGAAACATATTTCTGGATCTGCTATATTCACAAACCGTGTTTGCTGGCAGTATGGACATTTCCGCGAACAGAGAATAGTATTGGCTCGAGAGGCGGTGCATCAAAGAATCTGTTCGTTTGTAATTGCTTGTGATCTGCCAGCGAACTGTTTGCGAGTTTCAATGTGGACACGATGCTGTTTTTCTTTTCTTCGCGAACAGTTCTGTCCGATGTAGGCTCAACGTGCGTGGAAAATTTTAGCGAAAGTTTTTCTCGTAGCCTTCTTAATCTATTCGGTAAAAATTATTAATAAAAGTATATTTCTTATGGCCAGTAATATATGGTCATAATCTCGCAAGAGATAGACTTACAATGAGAAATTGATGCTGAAATTTATCCTGCTCCTTATAATAGTTTACTGCTCTTAGAATCTGCCAATATAAGCAAAAATTTAAGTACAGAGGGTGATTTCGATTATTTGTCAAACTTTAGAATTTGTTGGGAAATCCAAAGATCCCATCCAAAGATCGATCGATATAATTTATTCTAACATTACAAATACTTCAATTTTTTTTTAATTTCATAAAATTGTAGAATCTAGTTGGAGACAGAACGATGAATCTTGGAGTCTTCTTGCATAGCTTCAATATTGAAAATTAGAATTTGTCAATGTGAATTGATTAAAGAGAATTTCAAATGAAATATTACATTAACGCAAGGTTAGTCGTTACTATACCTACTAAGAAAATCTAGTTTAGTCATCAGATGAGGTTCATCCATAAACCCATTTCAAGTTACCGTTAGTTTCGGCATATTCAATATTTGTATTGCAAAGAAGAGATTGACTTACGAAATCAAACGGTAGTAAATAATCAAAGTTGCTTTTAGGGTCCTTTTCTCCTCTAATTTTCTACTTTTCTCGATGAATACTATTGGTCTCGTTGTTTTAAAACACCCCGACAACTCTACATAAGCAAAGTTTTATTGTATTAATTAGTTAATTTTTAATAATTCTGTTTTTATCGAATTTCGAAAAGCATAGCACGTATTGACGATTGATGGTAAAAATTTCGAACTCTTCTTAACACTTAATGGACTGAGGCAGTTTTATAGTTTTCTCACGCTAACTTCCTAAGACGAGCCACGTAGATTTATATTTAAATATCAGATATACGAAAATAAATAAACTCTAAAAATTTTATCGAGAACGATATACTTTCAGTTTGATCGAACTTGCAACGAAACCTTGCACGTATATTTTTCTGAATTCCCTCAAAAATGCCCGGAACGTATCTATCTCTGGGTCAGTATTTCCACGGAACGAGTACAGGACGAGAGCGAGATCGTGATCGCGCGAGGGTAGATATGTATGTATCATCGCGTGAAGCTCGCGAACGTTTGACGGAAATTAATTTCCAAGCCACGGTATTGTCAAACTATCACGAGAGATTGCGGCGGAGGTTTGGCGGCGAAAATTCGTACATGCAATCTCGGTAGCATTCTCTATTATTCCTTTTCCGTTTGTAGTCAGAGAAACGTTCCGAGGGGTAGAGGGAGCGTTCGCCGGAGGATCACTCGGCAGAAACGCCGTTTGTACGTCTGTGGGAATAATTCTCTGTATTCCGGAGGTTGCAAGTTCCAAGTTTGGGGAAGGAAGGGTGGCGGTAGCAACAGTCGAGGAGGAGCGGCGAACAAGGTGGATCGACGTTAGTGTATACACGAGTCGACAGTGGATCTAACCAGTCTCGCTTGGTAATTGAATCAGTCTCGATGCCGGCGAGGCGTAAAACGCGGATTAAATACGACACATACGTGGCAGCGAGTCTCGCTCGCTGGTTTTCTCCGAGTGGCAGCAGTGAAAGGAACTTTTGGGGGTCGAGAGTGGCTCTGCCATCGCAACCTTCTCGGCAGATACTTTGAAGAACGTCAGAAAAGGCTGTCGCGTGCCTTGCGATGAACGAGAGTCCAACTGTCGATCGAGATTTGACTGTAAATCATGCTGTTGAAGAGAAGGGAAGAGGGAACGAAATGTTTGAAAGAGAAGGACGGGTCATTAGGGAAAACGGTGGAAATTTGTCCAGGTGCCGTGATACACGCTGATAGCGCGGTGTTACCCGACGCTGATATCACCCGGGCTCCGGCTCTCTAATTTTCTCGTTGCAACGCTTTGAGGTCGAATCTCGTTCTCGATGCGGCGATCGTTTTGAAACGATGGAAACAAGAGCGTCCGCGACGAATCGAGCGTGTCGGAATCACCGCGTTTGATCATCGCAATCGGAGCATATTTATAGACGCTGTTCGATGAATCCGATTTGAACTTGGCAAACTCCATCCCCCACTCGTTCCTCCCCCTCACCTGAATTCTCCGTTTGCAAGCCGAGCTAATTGCACGAGGCGAGATTTAAAAGCGAAATTCGTTTGACGCTCGCCCGTGTCAATTTTCGCCTTTGCCATCGGTTCTGCGTCCTCTCTGTTTGTCTCTGTATTTCAATTTTTTTCTGTTTTTTTTCTTTCTCTCTCTCTCTCTCTCTCTCTCTCTATTTGGATTTCGCGTTCGCGTGTCGATCATGCCGAGCGCGATCCCCTTCCACGAAACCAGATTCCTCGCGGCTTTGTCGAATCTAGATTCGCGCCAGTGAAACCGATAAGAAATTACGAGAACGCGAGACGCGAGCAGTGACAAAGCGGAAGAGCCGACTCGAGAGCCAGTAGGGGAGAGTTTGATGAAAGAGTAGAATCAGCGATCGGTTGTGCAAATCGAATCGCTTTCACGGCCCTTGAATTGTTCCGCCTTCTCCGCCGTTGGTCACGGGCAGGATTCATCGGGGAGTTTCTGATTCCGGCAGGTCACTTTGTCCTTTCGCGAACGCGCCAGCGCACCCGTTGTTGTTCCTCGTGGTCGAATTATTCTTCGACCGCCGGAAATGATGGTCGCGCGACTCGGCGCGAAGGAAGACCGGGACTCGCGCGATATAAAATTCCGTGACGCGGAGATGGCGGCATTCACCTGGATGGCGTGTTTACGAAATTTATGAATGCCTTCTCCGCGGCCCCGCTCCGCCGCGTTCTATTTGGAGATCTCAAGGATAAAAGAAAAACCATCAATCTCGGCGACCCAGTTCCCTGTGCTGGTGGAGGAAGCACGGCCAACGTGGGGCCGGGGCCGAGAATCTCTGCCCGGCCGGTGCCGTTTATGAGCGAACCGTTCTCAAACTGTTTCGTAAGAAAGATAAATAGACGCTTTTGATAAAACTCGCTCGACACCGGCACTGGAGCGCATTGAATTTCATTATTAAGCGAGCTTTGATTTATCGTCTCAGCGCGACTCGCCGTCCGTTTGACCGGATTAACCAGCCGCCGCGCCGCTCTGAAAGCGAAATCGTTCTGAATTCGTTTCCAGAAGTCCCAAATTAGGAACGACCGCGTCGTATCGTGAATCTCGAGAATGTCGCGTCACAACAGATGTTTCGCGGACGATCTGTTTTTTGCCAATCGTGTTCACAGTCACAGTCACGGAAAGCGATTTCGAGAGTATTATACAATTTTCAGAGCCGAGGTTACGAGCCGGCGGCGAAACGACGAATCTGAACCATGCTGCAACCAGTGGGAACTGCCACGGCGTTGAAAGATCTCGTTATATCGCGTGCCTCCCGGCCGTAGGAACGTTCCATTCTATACCGCTGCCATTTTCCCCCTGTTCCCGCAAATATTTCCCAGGGTCACGATATTCGAAAAATTCGAGAGCAGCCCCCGGTCCCGGTGGGGCACGCCGCTCAAACGGATCAGCTCCATTCGTGTAATGAAACGGAAGAAATCGCGCGACCGTGACCATCGGCCGATCAACCCTGACGTGCATCTTCCTCTGTCTACTTTGCCCGCTCCGTCATAAAACTTTCATAGCTCTTTCGAATTTCCACGAACGATCGTCCTACCGAAACGTATGTTTCCTTTTCCCTGTGTCGTTTTACTTAAACGCAGTCGTAAACCTGCATACGCGTCAAAGGTAAAAATGCTGGTGTTTGGTTGATTGCATCGGTCATCGAAATTACCCGTGCCACTCGCGATAAGAGCGTGGAAGCTTCATGACAGCGACGGGAAAGTCTGTACAGCAACAAATGATATTTAGTTTCGTTTAATTAAAAGCGAGAGGCCTTTTACAATGCGCCGTATATTAAAATATTGAGAAATCAAAGAAACATTAATGTTTCACGTTTGTATGAAATTGACGTCAATATTGGTGCTGATTCGTGACGAGAATAAAGTCTGCTTGATTATTATAATTTCATTGCAAATTTCACCAAGTCTCCGAGCAGGAGATCACGAATGAAATTAATATTTATTTTTAAGTATTATCTATATATTTCTGTCACTTACAACTTTATTTAAGAATATTAATTTATTAATGGATCCTTCGCTTCTTCGTGTTATATTGGTTCATTATAATTATAGTCATAAATATTTCAAAGATGAGTATTAGTACATATCAACTGATCAACGTACGAAAACAGCAGAGCGGAGTATGTTTTGAGAGTTTGAGAATTTTTAAATAGTTTGCCAAATATTATCTGACTCTGTACTCTATCGATAACTTTTGCGTCGTGTGTGTTGAAATTGGTTTGCTCCAAGATCTATTACTATTACCATTATCAAGAATGGTTAACTTTAATTCATATAAGAATTACCTGAATTGTACCAATGCCTCTTGTTTCTTGAGAATCTAGTTATGCGACATTTTTAGGTTCATTCGTTCAGATTGGTTTACTGTTTCAGATCCAGATTTGGTTTTTATGATGAATGGATTATCAATACCAAATTTAAAAATATCAGATCTGGATCTTTTCAATACTATTGACGAAACAATTTAAAAAAAGAACATAAAGCCATCAACGAATAATAGTCTGCTACTCTTAAAAGAAACATTAATGTAATCAATAAATAGCAGAAAGAATAGAAAGAATAGAAAGAATAAATAAAAAGTCTTAGCATAGATAGATTATTGTGCAACCTAACATGCTAAATTCGTCCAATAATATACTTCTGTATCCATTCAAGCATATTACTCAAGCATGGTAGTTAGTTTAGTTGGCAGAAGCGAACAGTCAATTCTAACCCTTTTGCTTCGAAGAACGTATATATAAGCGCCCAAAAAGTGTGTGATAATGTACGAAGAATGTATACGCATGTGTACATAATAATGTGCAAGCTCACATACGAAGAACATGCTTAAATAACTTTTAAAAATTCGAGTTACTGTAATAAAATTCATTACAAAGTTTAGAGACAGAAAAACTCAATCGTATATCGTACGCATTCTGTATGCTTGTGCTGATTATCAACGACAGTGTTCGTGTGCCTGTATCGTTTCGTGAGCGATGCGTTCACAAAGATTACATTTTACTACAAGCATGGCGGAGCGAAAGAGTTAAAAGAGATTTCTTCGAAATCCGTTAGTGTGACGATGTGTATTCAGTTCCGTTAATAAGAAAGCATCTGGCGAGACAAAGTCGAGACGAAGAAATATCGAATTATGGACACAGGTTCCATTTTAGCAATTGAGTTAGTGTTGCAAAAAGAAAAAAAAAATGGACAAAAGAATCAATAAGTTCAACATGAATTGAATGAAGCTTTTACAGTCCGAACAATAGCTGGTGTAAAAACTC